GCCTGGCGAAAGGAAATCAATCAAGCCGAGCTCCGTTACTGAAACCATCCAACACGCCCCCCAAGGTCGGCGGATCCTAAACCCTAAATCCTAAACCCTAAGCCCTGAACCCTAAATTCTAAGTAAACCCTAAGCCCTAAACCCTCACCTCGTATTTTGTGCAGATGCGAAGCTGCAATGGCTCCGAAACCTCCTCCGAAGTGCCCTTGGATCACTCCTAGGCTCCCCTGAACCTTATAGTCCCCCTTAAGTAGATAGGGTTTAGGGTTTAGGATTTAGCGTTTAGGGTTTAGGAGGGTTACAGTCCCGCTTCAGTAGAATGAATACGGGGTATACTGGGATCTTATTATAATATACCCAAAGCCATATTCTATCTACTTAAGGGGGACTATAAATCCTAAATCCTAAGCCCGTTGAGCCCCATTCTACGCCACTCTGTCTGAAGACCTCCAAAAGTCTGTATCACTTAAGGGGATCCCCAAAACAAGGATTATGGGTTCAGGGTTTGGGATTTAGTGTTCAGGCTTTATAGGGCTCTAACACAGTGAAGAATTCTGACCTAGAGCCTCCAACAATGTCTCCAGTAATCAGGCACCCAGTATAAGGGGCCCTAGATCCCTCCAAAACCCTGAACCCCACTTCAGGGTATCAGGAGGGCCTTGGGACCTGAAACCCTAGACCCTAAACCTGGATCAATGTTAGGGATCCTTCACATTTTTTTGGGATGTGGGACTCCTTACATTTATGTACAAAGGATCCTCCTTTCTTCCTGGGGTAGTGTGGGCTATTAAAACCGTAGAGCGTCACAGGCGCCCAGCGCCGTGAGGCGGCACAGCGCTGGCGGGTGGCTGCTTTGGCGGAGCGTCGGGTGGTTTAGGGTTATGGATTTTAGGGATTAGGGTTTAGGGTTAGGGGTTTTATAGGGTTTAGGGTTTAAGGTTTGGGATTAAGGTATTTAGGGTTCAGGCTTCAGGGCATGATGAAAGGTGTATTTCTCAGAATAGTTCCTATATCATCCGCAAGAAAGATACCTATTCATTCCTGTATATGCCCAGATTCCCTAAAAGGGCCCACCATTCTGAGAAACTCCCGTAAGTTGCTGTGGGATTTTAGGCTATGCGGGATGATTTCTCCTGTTCGCAATTTGGTGTGTCTCGCCACTACATCTGGGAACCCCCGAGCGCTGTGGCTGACCTAAACCTTGTATACTTTCATCTACATAGGGGTGATTTGTCACATATACAGCAATATGAATGTCTTAGTGGTGAGAGCATTGGCGACTCACATTGAAAAGAACACGAATCTTAAACCTACTCGTGGTCAGTAAGGAATACGGGAATAAGCTCTATAGAGATTATGTCCCCTTGCTCCCTCTTACCCCCCAGAAAGTAAATGAACATCCTAGCCCTAAACCCCCGAACCCCGAACCTTACAACCTAAAACCTCAAACCAAAGCCCTAAACCCTAAACTCTGAATCTTACTGTGGATCCTTTCCCAGGAGCACGCCTCTGTTGCTTCCTTTGCCCGCGCATCGCTAGAGCTGATGGCTGCTACTTCGCCAGCAAAAGTGTCCTCGCAAGGCATCCAAACAGCCCAGAGTAGTAGGGTTTAGGGTTTAGGGTTTAGGGTTTAGGATTTAGAGTTTAGTGTTACTGTTGATGGAGGAAATCTTGTACCATTTAGAGCCCTAAATTACTGTAATTCCCAAGACTTTAAGGCCTTTCAGGTGGTGTAGGATTTCATCCATCTACTGTATCTAAGGCCCAAAGTAGGTATCACTTGTATACTTGGATGCCCAAGAGGTAGGCCAGATGCATAGGGCATTATCCGTCTAAAGCACGGAGTCTTCGCTTTGCGGTCTTGGAGGCCGTATGTAGAGCCGAATGGTCGCTTTGTAGCCAGCGTCCCTTTTTGGAGATGGCTTGCCCCCAAACCCCCTGACCCCTAAACGCATCCTGGCTTTCCCAGTAACCTCGCCAGAGTCCACATACCCATTTAGGGGTAGTGGGGGGGATCTAGATTAATCTGGAAGGGGTTATAGAGTGTAGGGTACAAAGTTTAGGGTTTAGGGGTTTAGGGTTTAGGGTCTTATAGGGTCTAGGCTTGATGCCAAAGACGTGCAGTGATGTAAAAAGTCTGGCTAACTTCCAGCTCTATCTAATTGTCAGCCCTAAACCCTTAAACCCTAAAACACAAACCTTAAAGCCCAAAACCCCCCAAAGCTAAACTCCAAACCCCTAACCCCAAAGCCTAAACCCTAATCCCTAATCCCTCAACCCTAATCCTAGACCTCAAATCCTAAATCCTGAACCCTAAACCCTAAATCCCTAAGTCCTCACGGGCAAGGTCGGGGCTCCAGCAGATCTCCTCGCTGCGACGCATGAGGCTGGCCTGGCCAAGTAACAAAACCTTAAACCCTAAACCCTAATCCCTAGTCCCTACACCCTAAACTCCTAAACCTTAAACCCTAAACCCCAGTTCCAAACCCAAATCCCAAAACCCAACACGCAAAAACTCCTAACACTTAAACCCTGATCCCATAATCCCAAAACCCTAAGCCCTAAACCCAGACTTAGAGGCCCAGGGTTCTACCGGCCAGGCAGCGCTGGATGAGATACGCCACGCCAAGGCTATGCTATCGTTCATTGCATACTGGTAGTTAGGATAGGACTTAGGGTTTAGGATTTAGGGTAGGGAATAAAAGAGTAGAATTTCTATAGGAGTAAGGGTTTAGGATTTAGGGTAGGGAATAAAGGAATATAATCTCATTTAGGGTAGGGAATAAAGGAGTATAATCCCTATAGAATTCTTATTCCCTTACTCCCTGGTAACCACCAGTGGGATTGCGGCATGCGACGTTATTGTTGTGCTTACCACCAAAGGTGGGCTCCAACTTCCTTAGAAAATCTTCCGCAACAGCGACGTTGATGGTTCCCGTCCTTCGCATGCTGAAGCTGGCCTAGTACTTTCTCGCAGAATTCCCTACATCCTAGATCCTAGACCCTAGAATGACTTAAAGTCTAGACTCCTAGTATCCGGCTTAATAAGCCCTGTAGTAGTCCCTATATAGTCCCCTATGTAACCCCCTTTCATTAAGGAGTTTGACCTAAACCCTATGTAACCCCCTAGATAACACCCCTTTAAGGAGTTTAGACCCTAAAATCTTACAGGTGGCATTCGGCCTGGCGCAGCACTTCGGCGAGGCTGGGCGCAGCTTAGTGGCTTCTCAGATATTTTAGTCCCAACTGCGGTTGCGGCGTAATTGATTTAGTCCTAAGGGTCCAAGGACCCAAATAATAGGGCTTTAGGGCCCAAATCTGGTATTTGGGCCCTAAAACCTTATTAGTTGGGCCCTATATACCCCTATATTATAGTCCTTTAATATCCCTAGATATCCCCCTACATACCTCTTTAAAGGGACCCTATTATTTGTGTCCTTGGACCCTTAGGGAGCCTTTTTTTTTCAGACTGGGAAGTTGCCTAAGCCTCGAAGTTTGATGCAGCTGGCATCATCACATTCTGGGGTTTGGGGTTTCTAGGGTTTAGTTTAGGGGTTTAGG